TGATTGAAAACATCACCACAAATGATGAATTAATGTACAACCCAAAGTACTTTTTTTGTATTTTTATATTTTATGATTCGCCCTTTATGACTGTTAGGCTGAACATTTGAATTGTTTTAACAATTTGAATGTTTGAATAATTTGAGGCACACATTTTCAAGTCAAGTGATGATGTTACACAGTGTTGTTGCTAGTTTATATTATTTAATGGTTTTATTTTCATACTTTTGTTTGTACATTGCAATTTTTTGTATGTTAGAAATGCCATACAGTCATACGGAACAGTTATGGCAATAATCTTGCTGCAAACAGATACAGTAACAACAAAACAATGCAGGCCAAGAGATCCAAGATGGCCAATTATTGTGTTCCCTGGACTCTAATTCACTCAAGAGGCTTACTGAAAATACTGCAGAAAATGACTTCATGAAGTCATGTATTGCTTTTCCTTGTAAAACGATCCTTCCTACAATACTTGAAATGATCCAAATGTTGATTTCCCCCCCCAGAAATTCCATAAAATAAGACTTTTTACAAGCCTACATGCAGCACTTACTGTATAAATGCACATGACTTTAACATTTAGAAAAAATTAGTTCCACTCACAGAGGTCTAATGTACTTCGACAGGGCAATTTGTTTGCATTCCTATTCAACTCAGTTGCAGACATGGCCTGGTAAATGTCTTGAATGCTTTACTTAATAATCACTAACATCTTTTGAGTCAATCATGTGACTGATCACTCTGTATGACTCCTTGCAGCAGACAGGAAACACAGTTTGTTTTACACAGTTACTAAGAAGCCACTCCAAAAATCAGTTATGAATAAAACATAAAAAAGCATTTCATCAAAGTACATGCCAATTTTTAATTGTTGTCAAAGTAAAAAGATGCTTTCTGGGCTCAGATGTGTAGGTGTAGTTAAAGGCTCTACCAGTAGGGGCAACCTGGGCTATGCTACCAGTAACTCTACAGCAGGGGTGCCCAAACTCGGTCCTGGAGGGCCGGTGTCCTGCAGAGTTTAGCTCCAATTTGCCTCAACACACCTGCTACAAAGTTTCTAGTATGTCTAGTAAGAGCTTGATTAGTTGGTTCAGGTGTGTTTAATTGGGGTTGGAGCTAAACTCCGACACCGGCCCTCCAGGACCGAGCTTGGGCACCCCTGCTCTACAGCATTTAAAGCAGGGGTGGGGAACGTTGATCCTGGAGGGCCATTGTCCTGCAGAGTTTAGCTCCAACCCTGAAAAAAATTACCTACCTGTATCCTGAAGACCTTGCTTAGCTTGCTCAGGTGTTTTTGATTAGGGTTGGAGCTAAACTCTGCAGGGACACAGTGCCCTCCAGGATCAACGTTCCCCACCCCTGATTTAAAGTGACCTGAGGCTTAATTCACTTACTCAATTCAGGCCCTTGGTCTCTACAGTCTTAATCAACTCACCGCAGCTTTCCCTTGACCAATGTTTCACAGACTTAAATAATATGTTTCCTCTCTGGTCTTTAGTCACAGTAGGGTCAGTGTTTTCATGGTACATTGACACAAGTCTAGAGCAGTGGTTCTCAAACCTGTCCTGGCGTACCCCCAGCCCTGCATATTTTGTATGTCTCCCTCATTTATCACACCTGATTCAACTCATCAGCTCATTAGTGGAGACTGCAAGACCTGAAGTGGGTTTGTCAGATATAGGGAAACACAAAATGTGCAGTGCTGGGGGTACTTTATGGAGAGGTTTGAGAACCACTGGTCTAAAGCAGTGGTTCCCAACTCTGGTCCTTGAGGCACCCCAACACTGCACATTTTGCATGTCTCCTTTCTCTGACACTTCAGTTTCAGGTCTTGGAGTCTCTACTAACGAGATGACCTGAATCAGGTGTGTTTGATTAAGGAGACATGCAAAACGTGCAGTGTTGGGGTGCCTCCAGGACCATGGTTGGGAACCACTGGTCTAGAGAATTCTGGATTCCTATAGACATGTGTTTCACATTATGGCACATTTAATGTGTCTAACTAATTTGACACTTCCAAATCAAGGTCAGGGAGCTCTATGCTAAAAAAATATATTAAATGAATCAGTCTGTTATAGAAAGGAGATGTCCAAAATGTGCAGTAAAATGGGGTTATTGATACATAATTATAGATATGTAACCGAGATAGTTCAGTGACTCTCACTAAATTTGTTCATGCTCTGCATTCTCATTACAACCAAATTTGTTAACTGAAGATCTGACAATGATATGTCTTTGTTCATGATAGAAATATTTAATAAAATCAAAACTGTAAAAAAAGTGTTCTCTAGGTAAGAAAGCTTCAGTTGTTTAAGAAGTTTTGGTTACACTCTTAAAAATAAAGGTGCTTCAAAAGGTTATTGAAGCGATGCTATAGAAGAACTATTCAGTCAAAAGGTTCTTTAAAGAACCATCTCTTTCTTAATTTTTTGTTATCTGAAGAACCTTCTTTCGCCACAAAGAACCTTTTGTGAAACAGAAAGGTTCTTCAGATGTTAAAGGTTCTTTATGGAACCATTTAGACAAAAAGGTTCTTCTATGGCATCGTGCAGCACCTTTATTTTTAAGAGTGTATGATTAAAAAAGGATTGAGATTGAGAACACTTGCAAGAATAGGCTGTGTGACATAAATCCCCAAGGTTTTATTAGCAACAGTGTTTGTAGTTAGGCTGTTGGATAACTGGTGAATTTTCTTGAAGCACTAGAGGTTTATTATCAAAGGGTTTATTATAAGTGACAAAACAAAAATAGAGGCCATTAATAGTCTCTCCCACGGGTCTCATCAATCAGACTTTTTAAGGTGATGAAATGGCCTGGCGTTTGTAAAAAAAAAAAAAAAAAAGTCTCAGTGGCCTAGCAAATATAGGCCAGGGTAAGTATTTAATATTATTCATATTTGCAGTAGCCTCAAATTTAATGTACTGATTGAGTTAAAGTACGTAGATCTTTTTTATTCTATTTTCTATAGTCACACAGGTTCTCAAATGTAAACGCCAATCTGTAAAAAATGCTCATTTTCTAGTGCCCCCATTTCTGAATCCAATAGTTTATGGATTGAACAGTCATGAATTACGAAATAATCTGCTAAAAGTTATGCAGGAAAATCACTAAAATGTAAAATACTTTTATTTTAAAAATAATATAAAAATAAAAATATAAAAATATATTTGTCACTGCTTATGCCAAGAGATTCGACACAACCAATTTCATATTAGTGTTATGATTAATTATAAAAGTGTAGCAAGATAAAATAACTATATCCATTTAGGCATTTTTAAGAACAAGAAACTGCACTTAAAATACATTTCTGTCAGGACCACTATCGTCAAAATGATAGATACTTAGCATAAAGTTTGGTTTGGCGGTATGGTTCTGTTCTGGGCAAAAACCTCCCTGCCCATCCATGCAGCCTGTCATGAATGAGCAGGGAGAGCAGCAATAATAACCCCCCCTAGGGTTAACAGAACAGAACAAGGCAGATATCATTAATGTACTTAATGATATTTAAGTGTAACACTTTATTCAAATAAAGGAGTCTGATTAGCAAGAAATATCAGAAAGCCAAGTCCTGACTGTGGCGAAAGGAGGAGCTGGGGATGGAGGAGGTTAATTTGCTCCTGAGCAAGCTGAAAAGCTGCAAAATATAAATACTGAATAGAGCTTATATAGGAATGCCGCGATAGGTGTCGTATTCCTATAGGTAGATGTGATCAGCTGAGAATCAGCTGATGCAAGCTTGACTCACGTGACCTGCCAGAACTAACGCTAACGCTTAATTTATGTCACTTAGCATACAGTTCATTTTCACATTGAAACATCCATGAACAATGTATTAATCTTTTGGAGAGTCTGAGAGACCTCAGGTATAAAACATGAATTATCATTGAAGATATGTTCCTGTACACTGTTTATGTTGATATCTTTGTGTGTGTTTTGTGTGCACAATTACTATAACATTTTCACATTTCTGAAAAGTGCATATGTTAAAATGCATGGTAAACATAATATTAAAGCTTTATATCCAATGGGTTTTGATTAGGTCAAAGAAACATGTTAAAACAATATGAATAAGTGGTTATTGTTATTATTTATATGTCGGCCTACATCACTGGTTTCTATTTTGGACAATCCATCTTAGTCCAAAACAGTCCAAAAGAGACTGTGGGTTAGATATGTTTTATTTATATAGAAAAAAACAACCACTTTCCCCCTTAAATCTGGAATATGCAACATGAATGAACATATATTTAAAACACATTGTACACATTTTGTAAACAGTTACAGAGAAAAAAATAATTTACTTAAGACTGATCGCACTCTTCCAGACTTTTAAGTCGTTCTGAACACAAACTTCAGTACAAACATGCATCTCATTGTTAGATGTTTGACAAATGAAAATGTGCTCAAAATATCAAATATGTTTGATCAACAACTGGGTGGAATCAAAGTCTGAAAATAAAAAATCTATGCTCATTGTACATTATACAATATTCTGTGAAATACTGTTCAACTCCTATTGCCCAAAATCTGCAGACATTTGGCAACTAGAATTGACTCCAAGAATCTGGGTAAAAATTATGTAGTGTATTCCAGACTTTAGTGCTTAAAATAATGTGTGGTCTGTCATTGTTTTCAATAATGTGAAACACATCTGTTAACATCTCAAAAATGTGTTTCATGACTGTTTTTTAAAGAGCATTTTCATATAGGCTCCAATATTCTAAAATGGCAGATTCAGCTGACATAGTGTTAAAATGTCAAAATCTCATATCTTAAATCTCAGGTTTATTTTAGACACAGACATTACATCATCTGGTGTCAAAAGACCACCAACTAAACCATGACTTCAAGTCCCACGACTGTTTTTTTTTCTGCATAAAAGGTGATGCTGTACCATAGCCTATGGTGGTGCATAGCTAGTGTATTCAGGTCATACAACTTACAACAGTAAGTGAACTAAGGTAAGACTTATTGTAACTTAAACTGCATGGTTAAGCATGCAGTCAGATTTACAAATTTTGTTACGTGACCACTATGTAAAATTCTCTATGGTGAAAATATATTTGTTTTTGTTTTCCATCAAGGTTTTTAATGGCTGGAAACCTTTCAAATCCCACTTTCACATTTAATCTTAAAATTGCTAAACTTGATATCCATCCCAAAGCAATATATCCTGTGTTCTTGGCTGGAGCTCTGATCTACGTGTTCTCTGTGGTCTGCAATGGAATCCTTCTTGGACTGATAATCACTCAGAGAAGCCTTCACAAGCCGATGTTCTACATCCTGTTCAGTCTTCCTCTAACCGATTTAATCGGAATCACAGTCGGTCTGCCCAGGGTTCTTGTGGACATTTTAACAGAAACAAATGATGTGTATTACCCTACGTGTGTTCTTCAGGCTTTTTTGCTACATTTGTATGCAGGTTCAATACCTTTTCTACTGGCAGCCATGTCGGTAGACCGGTACATAGCAATATGCAACCCACTCAGATATAATTCTATCATGACTCCCTGCAAAATATGTGGAATCATAGTGCTGGCATGGGGCCTTGACTTTGTCTTAATAATAGTGTTGTTTTCACTTCAGTCTAGAATGGTAAAATGCAAGTCTTTTATTACCAACGTGTACTGTGACAATGCATCTTTGCTTTTGCTTTCATGTGGAGGGGATTTGATTGTGAACAACATTTATGGTTTATTTATAACAGCATTTATACAGATCAGCAGTATCTCTATCCAGCTGTTCTCTTATACGCAGATTCTCATCACATGTATAAAACAAACACATGCTGATTCAAGAGTTAAGGCTCTAAATACATGTATAGCCCAGATCGCAATTTTTTTCCTCTTTGAAATAGTTTCAACCGTTGCTACATTATCATATCGGATCCCCAGCATCTCTTCCAATGCACAGAGGATTTGTGGTTTAATGATTTACACAGTCCTTCCGACTGTCAATCCAGTCATATATGGAATGAAAACTAAAGATATTAGAATAGCTTTCTTTTTGGTTTTAAAAAAGCACAAAGTTAGCCCAGGTAAAAATAAATTTGCTGTTAAAAACAGAAAATAATAATTATGGAAAAATAATAATTGAAAAAAAAAATTGAAAAAAAAAGGTTTCTTGATGTTGTATTCTGGATGGAAATTGACACAGGTTTAACTGTATGTTAGATTAATCATGTAAAAGTTAATGAACATTTACTAAACAACTGTATAATAAGAGAATTTAAAAATATGATTTTATTACATCATATTTTGGTGTAAATAATTTATTTGCAATTGTTGTGAAAGTATTAAATTATATATAAAAAAATGCTGTATTATCTGTGTATAATGTACTTGTTACTTTGTACTAGGCTTTTTCATGTGTATAAATGAGCAAAAAATAAAGGAAATTAATAATTGTGGGATATATACCAGATCTGAGGATTTGTATATTTTCACTGAATGAATAGAGTGCTTCTGATTCTATATCCTCATCTAACAGTCATCAGACTTGCATTAATATTACATTACAGTTAATAGGCATGGTGAGAGAATGAAACAAACCTTTTTTTTTGTCATGAAATAAACAGAATGACATTAACAAATAGTGAAAATAAACCCTAAACCTAACTACTATGAACAAAAATATTATTTCCCAAAAAAGACTATTCATGTTGTTGTACAAGCGTCTTTTGTTTCCATTAAACTGAGAAAACCGATTAAAGAGAATAAAAAAACTAAGATAAGATTTTGACTTGTATAATGCTGACAGACACGCAATGAAGAGCAATGAAAATGAACCGAAACACAGTCCAACATTTGCATAATAAAATGTGAAAATGTTTTCATGTTTCTGAAAAGTGCATGCCTTAACATGCATGGTAAAACATAGTATTAAAGTTTTATATGCAGTGGGTTTTGATTAGGTCAAAGGAACATGTTGAACGAATCTGAATTAAATAAGTGGTTAATTTAGAATTTACTATTGTTATTTTTATATGTAGGCCTACACACTGGTTTCTCTGGGACAATCCATCTTAGTCCAAAACAGTCCAAATGAGACTGTGGGTTAGATATGTTTTATTTATGTAGAAATAGCTATTATTCAGTCTTTTAGTGGACACTCATTAGTTGATTGTGAGTAGAAAGTGTGCTTTGGGCTTAATGCTTTGGGCCTAAATGTACAATAAATATATTCTCGATCACTTTTTGGTAGCCATGATATCTATATACTGTATGCACAAATGACAAGAAAGTTGGGTTAAACATTTATTTGGCTAAAAAAAGAAAGAAACCCTTTTCCCCTTAAGTCTGGAATGTGCAACCGGAATAAACAGATGTTTAAAAAGCACTGTACATGACGATTTTGTTAACAGTTAGAGCGAAAAAAATAATTCACTAAAGACTGATCACATGCTTCCAAAATTTTAAGTCGTTCTGAATACAAACTTCAGAAGAAACATGCACCTCATTGTTAGATGTTTGACAAATAAAAATGTGCTCAATAATTGGCTCAAAATATCAAATATGTTTGATCTCTGACAACTGGGTGGAATCATAGTCTGAAAACAAATCTATGCTCAACGTACATGCAATATTCTGTGAAATGCTGTTCAGCTACTATTGCTCAAAATCTGTACACATTTGGAAACTAGAATTGACTCCAAAAATCTGGGTAAAAATTATGTAGTGTATTCCAGCCTTTGGTGTTTAAAATAATGTGTGGGTCTGTCATTGTTTTCAACATTGTTTTCAACACATCTGTTAACATCTCAAAAAATGTGTTCTAGTGTTTCATGACTGTTTAAAGGATTTTTAAAGAACATTTTCAAACAAGCTCCACTATTCTAAGATTCAGCTGAAATAGTGTTAAAATGCACTGAACATCTCGTCTATTTTAGACATTACATCATCTGAGGCCACAAACTGAACTATGACTTCAAGTCCACGAGCTAGTGTATTCAGGTCATACAACTTACAACAGTAAGTGAACTAAGATAAGACTTATTGTGACTTAAACTGCATGGTTAAGCATTCAGTCAGATTTACAAATCTTGTTACATGACCACTATGTAAAATTCTCTAAGGTGAAAATATCGAACTTCGAACTTCATCCTCTAGGGGTCGCTATGGGGAACGCCTTGGCGTGACTCGTGTCTGAAGCACACATACAAAACTACAACACGTTGGCCAGCGACAGCCTGTGTAGGGAGTTCTATCATGAACAGACCCTGATATGCCACTATCAGCCATCATGAGGTCCGGATTAACTTAATCAAGAGATGCCACAGAGAGCTTTTGTATGAGGACTGAAAATACCGCGTGATGCCTCGTGATCCAATGAAAAGAACTATTATATGTATGCACAGGAAGCGGCTATGTTAATCACGCCCTCGGGCCGGCAAGCACGGGATATCTATGCATGACTGTCACATGTCTTGTGACCACCTACTTCCTGCCCTGTCTGAAACCCTTACGTGTCTTGTGTCACATACAAAGAACTTTTATCAGAAGGTATTTAAAACTTCCAGAAATACGCCCCATGGAGCATGTGACTTGTGCATGAAAAAAAGAACCACACAGGGCGTGGCTAAGCCCTGCAACAGCGTCCGATTGGAAGATCACGTCGTGGGGCGGACCAAAGGTCAGCCTGCTTAAAATGGACACAACGCTCTTGCTCGGGGCTCGCTCTCTCACTCTAGAGAACTTTGGCTTTCACCTTGGTGAGCGTGACAAAGTGCCCCACGCCGTAACATCGCACAAGCGAGACCATCTAAGAACTCAAACACTTCAGAGAAACACGATCTTCAAAGAACTTAACGCAAACTCAGACTGTAGCAAAACTGCTGAAGCCTCCGCGTCATAAAGAAGCCAACCAATCTCTGGAGGGCTTTTCCCAAGGACGTCATTCCGACGTCACCGCAACAACCAATCAGCACCGGGGTTCCCTCAGCAGACATCCAGGAAACCAAGCAGAACGCAAGTCACAAACAATATCGTATCTCTGCTGAACTGGTTTCCAGCTAATTTAAGCAGTAAAATTAAGGCAAATTCTCTGCTTGGTAAATTCTCTAAGGTGAATTTAAATCACTCGTAAAACGAGTTAGAATTTGAAAGCTTCATAGAACTCAGTCAACTCTCATTTCTGTCATCTGAAACTGTATGTGTGTGTATGTGTGTTTTAGTTTAGGTTTTATGTAATCTAGAATAGCCAATAAAATTCATGTTTCATTTATAGAAAATCATTGGTTTGGTGTCATATAATTTCAAGGTTAAAACTTTGCCAAGATCAACGTTACCTCTCTAAGAGTTGACAAATTATCATAATTGTGTTAACCCATGGCCAGGGAGAACATAAAATACATATTCTATTGGTAATATACACTGACATTAACTTCTCGCTGGCAGAGTAGCTGATAGGGTGTAAACCATTTAGATTAAAAATCAGTTTAATCAGGTGGACCTCGACTTTTTTCAGATTCGAGTCCTTTCAAAACCTGAATGAATTAATAATAATTAATTCCCTACAATTACAAATGAGTAATTTCATTACACCTATGACGTCACTACTGGTTTTTCTATGAAAATTCTCCGCTCTTGTCTGTCTGTCTTTTCGAGAAAGGAGGGGCAGCCGTCTGCTCCCCGTGGTTCAGGACTCGCCACTGCCGAGGCACGGAGGAGAATGAACTCATGGGGATCGCAGGCGGATCTGGCCCATGAGTTTAAGGAGGAGATTTCCCTCTCGCGCTCATTGGCCGTGGACGAGGGCGAGCTGCTGGATGATGATGATGATGATGCAATTTCCCTGACATCATCTGATCCAGCTGCTAGTGCTCTGCTGGGTTCTGCCCAGGAAGAGCAGGAGATGTCTGAGGAGGGTGAAGAAGTCGAGACGGAGCCCTCTCAATCAGGTGGACCTCGACTTTTTTCAGATTCGAGTCCTTTCAAAACCTGAATGAATTAATAATAATTAATTCCCTACAATTACAAATGAGTAATTTCATTACACCTATGACGTCACTACTGGTTTTTCTATGAAAATTCTCCGCTCTTGTCTGTCTGTCTTTTCGAGAAAGGAGGGGCAGCCGTCTGCTCCCCGTGGTTCAGGACTCGCCACTGCCGAGGCACGGAGGAGAATGAACTCATGGGGATCGCAGGCGGATCTGGCCCATGAGTTTAAGGAGGAGATTTCCCTCTCGCGCTCATTGGCCGTGGACGAGGGCGAGCTGCTGGATGATGATGATGATGATGCAATTTCCCTGACATCATCTGATCCAGCTGCTAGTGCTCTGCTGGGTTCTGCCCAGGAAGAGCAGGAGATGTCTGAGGAGGGTGAAGAAGTCGAGACGGAGCCCTCTCAATCCTCCTGCCCTGCATATGATGAGCTGTTGGAGGTTATGGAACGCGCCACGGTGAGGCTCGACTTGCCATGGAAGAGGGCCAAGAAGGTGGCACCGCGGGGTCATCTCGACGAGCGTTATCTTTCTGACCATAGCCCCCCAGCTCAAGCGAGCCTTCCATTTCTTTGTTTTCCTCTCGCATGCATAAGTTCCAGCATACGAGTTATGCCAACTGTGGCGAGTATCCCGAGTCCAGATTAGCGTCGCCCTGGAAACGCCGCTGCCACACTGATCACTGACGCACAACACCTGTGCGCGATGAGTGGCGCACCTGGAGCTCGTTCCCGCTGGCCTTAAAAGCCAGGAGAAGAGACACCAGCGGGAGGGCACCCCAGAGCTCCAGGCGACATTAATGCTTGTTTCTGATTGTTCACAGACTCCGAAGGCACCCTGGGAGAGGGATCTGCACCACGGCACTTCACCCCACGAGCACCACGCTGAGACGGGCACCGAGCACCATTCCTCAGAGCACGTGTGATCAGTGTGTGGGCAATAAATCACCCTCCGGGGCTCTTTTGATCAGTACCGAGTCTGTGTTCTCATTCACCCCACGACATATGGTGGAGAATGCGGGCATAACAGGTGAATTGAGACACAGACTGGTACCGCCAGGGGGCTATAACGATATCTGTGCTTCTTCTAGGAGAAACCGTTCTCTTCCCCCGGACATATGGAAGAGGTCATCTGCCGCCTAACGGAGCTCTCGGCCCGCCATCAGCAGTTTACAGAGCAACTGGCCGCCCGGCAGGAGTATACTGGCCGGGTCGTGGAACAGCTGCAGGCCAGCGTGGCGGGGCGCCTGCCCCTCCTGGGAGCGCCGGGCAAAGTGCACCAATACCTCGTCCGGTTGACCGAGAACGACGACATTGAGGCTTACCTCCACACGTTTGAGGTCATCGCGGCCCGAGAGGGGTGGGTCCAGGAAGAGTGGGCTCGCATCATTGCCCCCTTTCTCACCGGAGAAGCACAGCGGGCCTATTATGCCCTGAGGGCACCT